CCCCGCCCCGGTCAGCACAGACAGCAGCTGCAATAATTTAGCTTTATTGGTACAAACGGTTCAGAGCTCTACCTGCCCCTCCTCTCCTCCCGGGCAGCAAGGGTCTGCCCCTTCCCCCTAGCCCCCTGCACTGCCAGGGACCAGAGAAGGGGAGGGGGTAAGGTTGGAATGCTCTTCAGAGCCAGTCCCAGTCAGCCCCCATCACTTCTGGCGCTTGTAGATGATATGAGCCAGGTCCAGGAAGATCTCCTTGGGGAGGCAGTGGGTGTGCGCCTCAATCAGCTGCTGCAGGTGCTGAAAGCTACTGTCCTCGTACTCCTGGTAGACAGCCCTCAGACCCAGAGCTTCATACAGCTCCTTGACCCTAGCCACCTTCTCTAGCTCCTTCTGCCCATAGTTCTCCTGGAAGCAAAAAACAAGGTCAGACATGAGCTTGAAGTCCAACACAGGCCGCACACCTCCTACTCCCAGCCCCTGGTGTTAAGGCCCAACCTGGCCACCCTGTGCACAGGGAGCTTCCCCCATAACCATTAGTAAGCCAGGCAGCAACCCCCACTCCCCCTGCCACAGGCCATCAGTAGGGGGGCAGGGTCTTAATCTCCCAGTAAGAATACCTCGAGGAGCTGCCTCTGCTCTGGAGAGGCCCGGTGCAGGCACTCTACCACCAGCCAGCTGCACTTGTTGTCCTGGATGTCAGTGCCAATCTTACCCGTCAAGCTTGGATCCCCAAAGCAATCAAGGAAGTCATCCTGTGGGCAGACAGAGCCTACTGTGCTGTGACCTTCCAGAGTACAGGGTCTCATGAGCACCTATGGGAGAAGAAGGGGCCTCTTACCTGGATCTGGAAGAACTCCCCCATCTCCAGCAGGATGGCCTTTGCATTGGCATGCTCCTCCTCACTCTCTATGCCAGCCTGCAAGGAGAGAAGAGAATGGAGATGTCTCAGCCCCTAGCCCAGACCCTTCACCACCCTGGTCCTCTGCTGCACATACCCCGCCCCATCCCCTCAGCCAGCAGAGCCTACCCCAACCCCCCCAGACATGCGCACCACCACACTCCCTCCCACAGCAGAGTTGCCTAACCAGCCATGCCAGCCAGCAGCATGCGGGCAGCAGAGGACACTCACCATGTACATGGCAGCAGCGACAGGCAGGTAGAAAGAGTAGAAAGCCGTCTTGTATTTAACAATTGCCTTGTACCTGCCAGACAGGAGCTGCACTCAGTGACAGAGGCCCACAGGGTGCCAGGAGCACCTTGCAGACACTGGAGCCGCTTCCCAGGGACAACTGGCTACAGCATTGCCCCAGAGATGTCAAAGCCTCTGGCTTGTAAAGACAGCAGCCAGGGGGGAGCAGCCCAGAGAAGCTCCCTGCTACCCCTCAGCTACACAGAGGTGCCCTGCAGGGCAATGTGGCACCTTGAGCCACAATTGCCCCCGTCACTGCACCTGCCCCCAGATGGCAGGCTTTACGCACTAGGCCTCACCTCTGCTCAGTGAAGCGGGCCAGGTCCACTTGGGTAGGGGGAGCTGTGATGAGGTCCAGAGCCTGTCCCAGCTCCGTCTGGTAGCTGGTCTGAGGAGGAAGAAGATGTGAGGTCCCAGCCCCACTACATGCTGCTCACGTGGCCCTGAAGGCCCCATCCCTAGACACTCAGAGACTATCCAGGGGAACAAGCAGCTGCCACCACGCAGCATGGGGCTTGCACCTCCCAGCAGGCATGTGGCAGCTCTCCGACAGTGACCTGCAGACCCGAGTGAGGTCAGACGTGCCCAAGGGGAGCTGATTCGCGGCAATCAGGGTGCAGAGAGGAAAATGGGAGCAAAGGGGCCAGCCCCACCTGCAGGAAGAGCTCCAGCAAGTGCAGGTAGTAGGGCTGCCCCCGGCAATATTTCTTCAGCAGCCGGTAGATGGAGGATTCAAGAAGGAAGGAGTCATTCACAGCATCCAAACCAATCCCCTCCTGCAATAGAAGGCCCAGGACAGGTTAGAGCCAGCCCTCTTCCAGGCTCCATGCTTCAGTCCTCCCCTACACACACCACAAGGCAAGCCAGCAGCACTGAGAGTTCAAGCTACAAGGCTCAAGCTTTGGGCAAAACACCCAAATCCATCAGAATAACAATTCCCAATGGGTGCCATGAGGGGTGACAGCACCAAAGGAGAATCTGTCGGCGTCAGCATGGGGAGCCCCATGAGGCAGAAATTTGGTGGTGTAGAAACTGTGATAGTTAACACTGCTGCCAAAAACGTCCCAGCTCTGCGTGATAGGACCCAGCCACGAGATGAAAGGGGTGGGCAGGCCCATGCGTGTAGACAGCCCGAACACACCGCACCCCTTCTCCAGGGTCAGGAGGCAGCGCACGGCCCCTTTTAATCCAGACATGCCGTGGGAATCGGAAGCGCAGGGAACACCGATTCAGAACGTGGACAAGAACATCACGGGAGAACAAGAACAGGGTAAACTGCTGCAGCAAGGCAGGATAGTACATCCCAAGGCAGCACGTGCCCGGGAAGGGCTGGGGCAAATGTTGCAACTGCACGAGAGCACGAATTGGCAAAGAAATGTGAAGCAAGAGCACCTCATGTGGGCGAGCAGTGACTGGAAAAGCACTTCGATGGCACAGAGCCCCGCACTGCCCAGGGGACGCACGAGGTGCCTGAACTGCTGTGGCAGGACCTGGAAGCACCGATGCCCAGTGCTGTCACCCCCTGCCCCGGCCCCCCGTACCTTCTTATACCAGCAGGGCTGGCCCCGGCGGGTGAGGGACGAGTCCATGATATCATCCGCCACCAGGAAAAAAGCCTGGAGCTGAAACAAGAACAAGTCCTTCTCGTACCACACCGGGACTCAGCGGTTGAGGCCCACGTCCCCCCAGGCAGCGAGGGCTGCGCCAGCCTCCTGGTGGGGAGCCCGACGGGGTCCACGGTGCCCCCCGGCCCTTCGGGAGCCTGCTCCCCCCCGCACCCGAGACCCCCAAGCCCGGCCTCACCAGCTCGATGCACCAGCCGACCGCCAGCGCGCGCTGGACGCTGTCCGGGCCCTGCTGCTCCGGCTGCATGAGGCGTCGGAAGGCGGCCAGCACGGTCAGGCCCCGCGTGTGCTTCCCGCCCGGGCTGTTGTACTCCAGCACCTGCGGGGACAAGCGCGCGGCTCCGCTGACACCGGCCCGGCCCCACCCGGCCCGGGCTCCCCGCGGGGCCGAGCACAGCCTCTCCCCCCTCAGCCTACGCTGTCCGGGCCCTGCTGCTCCGGCTGCATGAGGCGTCGGAAGGCGGCCAGCACGGTCAGGCCCCGCGTGTGCTTCCCGCCCGGGCTGTTGTACTCCAGCACCTGCGGGGACAAGCGCGCGGCTCCGCTGACACCGGCCCGGCCCCACCCGGCCCGGGCTCCCCGCGGGGCCGAGCACAGCCTCTCCCCCCTCAGCCTACTCCCCCGCTCACCTCC